TTTTTTTTTTTATGACACACATACAAACCACACTCTGACATCCATACCAACACACCCACACAATTATAGCTGCATTATTTATCCAATTGGCTCTATAATATGCAGAAGCAGAAAACAGAAATAAAGCGAGTATTTTCTTTATAGGTCAAACCTGAAAAAATGGCACCATCTGGTAAAAAATAGTATAGTGGAAGGCCAAAAATAGGGTAAAAATAGTGCCAATATAATGAAAGCCTATCAACAAAAATTGCATAATTTTACAGTTAAATGGCACTGCGATTATATATTTGATTGTGCATTCTTTCAATATCTTTTTTTTCTCTGTAGGAGTTTGCTGGTGAGGGGTTGAGAACTCTTGTTCTAGCATATAAGGATTTGGATGAGGAATATTTTTCAGAGTGGAAACAGCGCCACCATGAGTCCAGTGTGGCGCTGGAGGACCGGGAGGAGAATCTAGAGAAACTATATGAGGAGATAGAGAAAGACATGATGGTATGAACAAAACACACACCCACACAAAAGCATAATTAGAGGTTATAGTCTTTATGTTGGCTGCTCTGTTTAATTTACCCAAAATGTTAGTTATTTTTTTGTAGAATATGATGCTAAAGTGTTTTTGTGCTGTCCTTTTTGTGTAGTTAATCGGAGCCACTGCAATAGAGGATAAACTTCAGGATGGAGTCTCTCAGACCATTGAACAGCTGACCAAAGCCGAAATCAAAATCTGGGTGCTCACTGGTGACAAGCAAGGTGCTTCATTATTTAATTCAAAAATTTCTTTATGCTATCTGAGACCCTTAATCACATCCCCAATACTGACTAGTTTAAGTAAACCTGATGTGTTTGCATTGCTCATTTTCTGTGCTGTACATCTCCTGCTATGAAGACAGGAATAAAGGCATTAAAGGGATAGTACACCCAAAAATGAAAATTTGATGTTTATCTGCTTACCCCCAGGGCATCCAAGATGTAGGTGACTTTGTTTCTTCAGTAGAACACAAACTATTTTTAACTCAAACCGTTGCAGTCTGTCAGTCATATAATGGAGGTGAATGGGAATCACGGCTTTGAGAGTCAAAAAAACATACACAAACAAAACCAAATTAAACCCTGCGGCTCGTGACGATACATTGATGTGTAAAGACACGAAACGATCGGTCTGTGCAAGAAACTGAACAGTATTTGACGTTTTTTACCTCTGATGCACTGCAATGTCTGGACTGTCCTGAGCGCGTCCTCGACAGCCGGCGCGCGACGTGTCTTCTTCTTCTTGCTTTACGGCAGATCACAGACTTATAAGTGCATTACCGCCACCTATCTCTCAAATGGACAATTAGGAGTGTCATCAATGGTCCATTTGAGAGATAGGTGGCGGTAATGCACTTATAAGTCTGTGATCTGCCGTAAAGCAAGAAGAAGAAGAAGAAGACCCGTCACGCGCCGGCTGAAGAAGAAGACGCGATCGCACGCGCTCAGGACAGTTTGGACATTGCAGTGCATCAGAGGAAAAAAACGATTAATAAAAAAACGAAATAAATACTGTTCAGTTTCTTGCACAGACCGATCGTTTCGTTTCTTTACACATCAATGTATCATCACGAGCCGCAGGGTTTAATTTGGTTTTGTTTGTGTATGTTTTTTTGATTCTCAAAGCCGTGATTCCCATTCACCTCTATTATATGACTGACAGCCTGCAACGGTTTGAGTTAAAAATCTCCGTTTGTGTTCTACTGAAGAAACAAAGTCAAATACGTCTTGGATGCCCTGGGGGTAAGCAGATAAACATCAAATTTTCATTTTTGGGTGAACTATCCCTTTAAGCAACACAATCTCTCCGCAAAGTCTGTTTTGTATTTAAACTAAAACTTCTATTTACATTATGAAAGTGCAATGATTCAGTTATGTAACACGATGAGGTCAGTGCTTGTGTCATTTATAATCATTATGTAATGTACTGATTACCCACCATTTGTGTGTGTGTGTTCATGGTTGGCTGGACTGTTAATGAAGTTCTTTAATGATAAATTACCAAGTGGCCCTCTGAAAACTTTCTTGTTTCTGTCTGTCTGTCTATAACAGAGACCGCTGAGAACATTGGCTACTCGTGTAACCTGCTGAGGGAGGAGATGAACGACGTGTTTTTTGTTGCAGCTAACTCACCTGAGGAGGTCAGACAGGAGCTGAGGTAATACATCTCATGCAGATGACATATGTATCATATATTGAGTGCTAAAACACATGGGAGAAGGCTAGATTTGGGTGGGCGTACACAAAATGGGTGTTTTATAGGGAAATTTTAATGATGATCCAAAATTTAGCTTGCGACAGTATGATTCTTTTTTCCTGCTACTGTTTTTAGTCTTTTTGAGTATGTTTGCACAGAATTTCTGTTGTGTTTATATTTAAATGGTCTCTTTTTTTGCAAAGGGATGCCCGTCTAAAGATGCGTCCTGCCACTGAACAAGACAAATTCCTTATTCCTGAGATTATTCTGGGTGATACTCCTAAAGTGGTTCAGGACGAAAACGTAAATGGAGACTACGGACTGGTGATAAATGGACACAGCCTGGTGAGAAAGTGTCTTTCTCTCCTCTGTACTTTCTTCTACCTAATGTCCGAATGTGATTCTGAGATGGGTGCAGCAGCTGCAGAGAGTAAAAGCATCTTATTTCCTGTTGGGATCTTTGTGTTCCTAGGCATTCGCTCTGGAGAGCAACATGGAGCTGGAGTTTTTACGGACAGCTTGCATGTGCAAGACGGTCATCTGCTGTCGGGTGACTCCTCTGCAGAAAGCTCAGGTGGTGGAGCTGGTCAAGAAATATAAGAAAGCAGTCACTCTAGCCATAGGAGACGGAGCTAATGATGTCAGCATGATTAAAGGTGAATTCAGCTTGACAACAATATAGATGCATAATAAAATAAACATTCTGTTGTTTTATTTTTTTTTTAAAAGTGCATTTTAGAATGTAAAAAATTGTTCAAATGTTCCTGAAGATATTAAATCACAATTGGAGTTTTGTTGCTTTTAACCCTTGTTCATAGCAATGCAGTGTTATTTTAGTATTTATTTGTACAATATTCTAGTATTTAATTAAAGTATTAATATTTTGATTAAGCTTTTATTTTTTATATTTTTAGTGTTAATTTACATTTTAGTTTTAAGTTTTTTTTTTTTCAATTTGTTCTTTTATATTTCCATATAGCTTTAATTTTAAGTTTGAAAATAATTTTTTATTTCAGTTTTACTTTAGTTTTTATTAATTCAAATGAAACTTATTTCAGTTAGCTGCAAAGCAGCATATCTAATTTTCATTAAAAAAATTTAAGTGTAAGTTTTTATGTAATATTTGTACTTTATTTTAGCTTTATTAAAAATGTTTAATAGTTTAGTTTTAGTTAACAGTAACAACATTGTAGCACTGAGACCATCAACAGTGTATGCTGGTGTACTCCCAAAAGTGACTTCATTGTTTATGATTCTTTTGCTGTGCTAATGCTTGTGCTTTTAACATTTGCTCCATGTGACACATTATTCAAGCTTTATTTTAATTTGAATTTATTTATATAAATGTATGATATTAATCTTATTGTCTTTCTTCTCCTTCTGCAGCGGCTCATATCGGTGTGGGTATCAGCGGTCAGGAGGGGATGCAGGCAGTGCTGTCTAGTGACTTTTCTTTCGCTCAGTTCCGTTTCCTGCAGCGCCTCCTGCTGGTACACGGCCGCTGGTCATACCTGCGCATGTGCAAGTTCCTGCGCTACTTCTTCTATAAGAACTTTACCTTTACCTTTGTACACTTCTGGTACGCATTTTTTTGCGGCTTTTCTGCTCAGGTGAGCCAAGTGCAGCAGAACTGAAAACTGTTCTTTTTTTCTTGCGTTTACCCTTGCGAAGACTTTACTTAAAGGGTTAGTTCACCCCAAAATGATAATTCTGTCATTAACTACTCACCCTCATGTCGTTCAAAACCCGTAAGACCTTTGTTCATCTTCGGAACACAAATTAAGATAGACAGCAACACAACTGAAATGTTCCCAGACAGAAACGTAGTAAGGACATCGGTAAAACAGTCCATGTGACATCAGTGGCTCAACTTCAATTTTGCAAAGCTACGAGAATACTTTTTGTGCGCAAAGAAAAAAAAAATGACGACTTTATTCAACAATTCTTCTCCCCCGAGTTACTACTTCTGCCATTTTGGAGAGTACCCAAGAGCGTGATCGGTGTTGTTTACATTCGGGGGGAAAGCGTGCGTATGCGTTGTGATACTCTCAAAAATGGCGGAAGACAGTAACTAAGGGGAGAAAAATTGTTGAATAAAGTCGTCATTTTTTTTTTCTTTGCGCACAAAAAGTATTCTCGTAGCTTTGCAAAATTGAAGTTGAGCCACTGATGTCATATGGACTGTTTTACCGATGTCCTTAACTACGTTTCTGTCTGGGAACATTTCAGTTGCGTTGCTGTCTATGGGAGGGTCAGAGAGCTCTCAGATTCCATCAGAAATATCTTAATTTGTGTTCCGAAGATGAACGAAGGTCTTACGGGTTTGGAACGCCATGAGGCTGAGTAATTAATGACAGAATTTTCATTTTGGGATGAACTAACCCTTTAATTATTTGTAAATATAAAAAGCATTTTTGGTTCTTCTTGCATGTCTTTCTAGACGGTGTATGATGAAGGCTTCATCACTTTGTATAACTTGGTATACACCGCCCTGCCTGTTCTGGGAATGAGTCTGTTTGACCAGGTAGGTTGTATGCGTGTGTGTGGGTGTGTGTTACATGAAATTAAAATTAATTTATATCTGTCCAAACAAATACAATTCTGATTATTCTGAATTCAGACAGTCGTGAAAGGCTATTGAAGAAACACTTTTTTTTTAAATTAACCTAAAAGGAACATTAAAAAGTGTCAATTCACCATGCTCTTGTGTGTTAAAAAGATGAATGGGGCCTTGTAGCATTTCAACTGTATATTAATGGTTAGAAATGAACTGGTTCGTTGAAATGAAATATGACTTAATATTGTTTTTTATGTTTCTCCAGGATGTGAATGCTGGCTGGAGTCTGGAGTACCCTCAGCTTTATGTGCCAGGGCAGTTGAGTCAGTACTTCAGTAAACGTGATTTCATGATGTGTGCACTTCACAGCTGTTACAGCTCTTTAGTGCTGTTCTTTGTGCCTTACGCTGCCACATATGACACGGCGAGAGACGATGGCAAAGATGGTGCAGACTATCAGTCATTCGCACTGATTACTCAAACCTGTCTCACCGTCACTGTGTGTGTACAGGTCAGTTTAACATCTGCAGTTGTGTGTGCGATTCATTTGATTGGAAGTCTTTTTTCCCCTAATTTCTGCTCTATGTTCCATACAGTTGGGGCTGGACCTCTCATACTGGACTGTTGTTAACCATCTATACGTGTGGGGAAGTTTGGGAATGTTCTTCATATTGACCTTCACCATGTACACTGATGGACTTTTCCGGTTACGTCCATCTTCTTTTGCATTCATAGGTAAGCAGGGCTTGCATGTTGCATTCCATAATTTGTAATGTGTATGATATATCACATACTGTTTTTCATACTAATTATCAAGAAAAAGTGTGTAGTATAGAGTATGTATGTTGTGTTTTACAGGAACTGCCCGAAATTGTCTTAACCAGCCCAACGTGTGGCTGACTGTTGCATTGACAGCTATACTGTGTGTGCTGCCTGTGGTTGCTTACCGGTTCTTCTACAGCCAGATCTCTCCTACCATCAATGACAAGGTATAGAGTTACTTAACCTCACTTTACTGATCCTCAAATACAGTTGAATTCACAGTTCCTTTTACTTGCAGAATAACAGTAAATTACATCATTATTCCATGAACCATTATTATATCAATCACTTTTAAGATCACATTGGCATGATCTGAATATACAGTAATTGACTATGTTTATACGCACATCAAATTCCATTTAAGGTCTATATTCAGATTGCAGCCGTATTCAGAATGTTTATATCCAGACAGGTATCAGAATATTCCTGTAATACAATATGCTCAGTTTTATAACCTTTTCAATGATAATTTAATTAGGACTAAGACTTTTCACCTTCTAAAATGCCTGACAGCACCACAAAAAGGAAATGGTCAAGCAATCGTTAATAATAATAATCGTTCAAGTTTAAAAAGTTTTATCAATTAAAAAGTCTGTCGCATTGTCACTCTAGAAATGCACTGATGTTTTTTATTCTTAATGCTGCAAGTCTTTTTTTTCCATTTTGTTCTGCAGATGAAAAACACAGAACTGCATTCTGAATTCAGAATAGTGCATTTAAACAGAATGCAGGGATTTCTCTCGTTTTAAAATTAATTTTTTATTCTATTTTATTACCGAACACACAGAATCAGGCAATTGGATTGCAGTGTTAACATGACTCAATACTAATGTTGGCAAATAATAATGGAGTTTTGATGTGCATGTAAATGTAGTCATTGTGAGTGGCTGAATGAGACAGAAAAACGGGAAGACAGAATGAGAGGAAGTACTGTATGCACATTAAAATGTCTTATTGTAATTGTATAAGCAATAGTAATATCAAAATGATAGTAGTATAATGAATAATAGAGTAAAGAGAAAGACAGTATCTCAAGTGTTTGCTGAAATTGATGGGTGCACAAATGAATATTTCCGTTTTGATTGTTAAATACAGGTGAGGTATAAGGTGCGTCAGATGAAGGAGCCTACTCCGCGTCCGCGCCGCACCAGGCTCACCCGAAGGAGCACACGGCGGTCCGGTTACGCCTTCTCGCACGCCCATGGTTATGGTGACCTCGTGACCTCTGGCAGATTTCTGCGGCGTCATGCACCTGCTCGCTCCATGGGCTTGATTCCCACAGGACGCTCTCCTGGGTTCAAGCCCACAGGTCGGTCTGCGGGTTACAGCCCGGTCGGGCAAGAACAGAACCCCAAACAGAAAGTAGAACCAACGTCACTGCAGATGTTCCGTGCGGTTAAAGACGCTTCCTTTTGAGGGTGCAGCTTTTCAACCAGAGATAGAACCAAAACCTTAAATGCTGTTTACAGGGTTTGAACTCTTGGGGACAATTTCACAGCTGCTGTGTTATGCGTATATAGCAGAATACTATATACGCACACTAAGTACAAAAGACTTGATTCCTAAATGTACGAAATCTTGTTGAGTGTGCATAGACACATTTGTCACTCAAAATGCAAGTGTGGTTTACAGCAAGAACAAACTGAAATATCTGTCATGCTGAAGGACAGAGAGTATATACACAGAGCCGATCCTCCCTATACGCAAAATACGCAAGCTGCGTAGGGCCCCTGAAACACCAGGGGCCCCCCTTGCTCTCAGAGATGATTTAATTTTAGTTTCGTTTTTGAATTTGGCCAGCGGTTATGAAAACATTGAATGATCATTTCTTTTAATGCGGTGCGCTGTCGACCTTTCTACGTAAAAATCAGTCAAATCATGTAATTTGAATGTCGTACAGTCTTGATCGAGACTAAAAAAACGAGTTGAAAGCGTACTGAGCCGCGGAAGAGACACTGTTTCTCAAGCGCTTTCCGCGAGCACGATTCGAGACAAAATGCGCTTCATTCATTCGTTCATAACCACTCCTACCCCGCCCCCGCCCCCCGGCGACACAGTTTTGCGTAGGGCCCCCAGAAGTCTAGGATCGCCACTGTATATACAGTACTTGTCCTTTCTACTGTCATCACTACAATGGGAGCGACAAACTTGACTGCAAGAGAGCAAAAGACAATGGCATTTACATGATGTCATAGAGGAAGTCATGAGTAATCTAATTCAAAACAAAAACGTTTCCTGTTCTTTTCCTCTTCCAGGTACTATGTCCACTATCTCCTTTTGACATGAGCTCTGAGTTCTGTATACACCGCACCCAACATTTTATAGTCATTTCATAACTCAGTCGGGTCATATTTCCTATCCTTTTTTTTTTTTTCTGAGTTCCATTTATAATGTTAATCAACTTTTTCTTTTGCACCAAAACAGTCCTAGTTTCATTTTTCCTCCCTCTTTCTGGCCTTTAGAATTAAAGGGATAGTTCACCCAAAAATTCTGTCATTAGTTGATGTCGTTCCAAACCCATAAGACCTTCGTTCATCTTCGGAACCCAAATTAAGCTTTTTCTGACTCTCCATAGAGAGCAATGCAACTGAAATGTTCCCTATAGTCATTTCATAACTCAGTCGGGTCATATTTCCTATCCTTTATTTTTTTTTCTGAGTTCCATTTATAATGTTAATCAACTTTTTCTTTTGCACCAAAACAGTCCTAGTTTCATTTTTCCTCCCTCTTTCTGGCCTTTAGAATTAAAGGGATAGTTCACCCAAAAATTCTGTCATTAGTTGATGTCGTTCCAAACCCATAAGACCTTCGTTCATCTTCGGAACCCAAATTAAGATGAAATCCGAGAGCTTTTTCTGACTCTCCATAGAGAGCAATGCAACTGAAATGTTCCCGGACCCAGAAACGTACAGTAGTAAGGACATTGTTATAATAGTCCATGTGAAATCAGTGATTCAACTACGTGTGGTTCAACTTTCATCAAAAATATCATAAGTTGTGTTCTGAAGATTAACGGGTTTGGAACGACATGAGGGTGAGTAATTAATGACAGAATTTTCTTTTTTGGGTAAACTAACCCTATAAACAGGCCTTTTTGCTACTGTACCTTTAAGAGCTCATATAAGAGCTTTCTTTTCACATGAAATGAGTAAAGGTCTGTTCAGACCAAGAACGTTAACTATAACGATAATTATGTTAGCATCCAGTGCGTGTTAACATTGTTTATCATAAGTGTGTGTGTTAATGTTTTGTTATCTGCCGCTTTGAATGCTCAAACTCTTTAAAGCAGGATGGATTCTGATTGGCTGTCAATTTTATTTTATTTTTTTCCCATCAGCTGGGGAAAAAATAAGTTTTGCAAGTGATTCTAACATCATTGTTCCTCTGTTTCATTATTGTTATGGTGTGTGCTATTCTTTTAGATTTAAAATGATTTTTAAAACTATATCTTTATTATAGTTATCATCCTTGGTGTGAAGAGGCCTTAACAGTGCTGAAATGGCCCTCAAATAGTTAAGATTGGCGTGACATGATCAAGGACCTTGTTAAAAATAAAGTCAGCCGCTCTACTAATTTTGGGATGCATTGGAAGTCGACACAGAGTCACATATGCTACAGTAACCAACAGCCAGAAAAAGCCCATACTTACACTTATCTTTACCAACTTGATACCAGCTCAAATAATCATATCTATAATAGTATCCATCCCACTTCCTTCTCATTATTTCACCATGACTAGGCAGTCCAAGTTGCTGAATAGACATTATTGCTGTGTAAATGTGGGGGGTTTGTGTTAATATATTCCTCACTTTGACAACACACAATCACAGCTTCCAGAATGACATTTTTGCAGCTTTGTTTCTATACATGCTTTTCTTTGGACTAGGACAGGGGTTTTGACTTCCAAATGTTTCAGTATTTTAAATCCCAAAGTCACATATTTTAAAAGATCAAGGAAACATCCATTTTTCATGTCATGACATCATTATGTCTATGTTTAGAGCTAAAAAAATAAGGAGACCAATTTGGAGACATTCATAGTATTAAATAATTAAACTCAAAGAGTGCCTTGCATATGACTTTGACTTACAGATCAATGTTAGCATAAGGAGTTCTTATGGTTTGGGAATATACAAGTGTATTTTCAGCACAGTAAAAAAACATTTTAATTCAGCATTACTTGGTATACTAATATACATCCTATTCATACTCTAGCTGTGACAGTCACAACTATGCAAATCCTGTATTTTTTTGTACAAATAAAATACTTTTTTATTTTTTACACTTTTTATATTGTATAAAACTGTAAGTTTGTTCAAGTCTTGTCAGTTACACATGGCTGTAAGTTCACCCTGAAAGTAAAATTATGCCATTAATTATTCACCCTAATGGTGTTCCAAACATGTGTGACTGTATGAACGTAAAACTTCAAAAAATATTTTGGCTACTCTTTGTGATATAAGGAAGTGACTGAGGAGAGGACAGGCCCAAAAAAGAATTTGAATACTTTAGACAACACTTACAACATAATGATGCCATTAGATCACAAAATATGAAAAGAAATTGGGTTTATATATATATATTAGGGGTTGCACCGACTAGTCGACTTCAATGCTCTGCCATGACGTCAACTAGTCGCTGGTCCTATAGAGGGCGCAACAGGATTAGAAATCTTTGAAGGACTTCCACATTTATGCTTCGTTTCCAAACAGTTCAAATGATCAGCGACTAGTCGACTTCGACTCGACTTTCATCACATAAAAGTCGACTGATTAAAAAATCAGAAGTCGTTCAACCCCTAATATATATATATAAATAACTCATTTAAAGGAGACATATTATGCCCCTTTTTACAATACGTAATATAAGTCTCTGGTGTCCCCCCCCAGAATGTGTCTGTGAAGTTTCAGCTCAAAATTTCTCACAGATCATGTATTATATCATTTTGAAAATGCCTATTTTGAGTGGAAGCAGAAACACACTGTTTTTCGTGCCTGTCTCTTTAAATGCAAATGAGCTGCCGCTCCCCGCCCCCTTTTCCAGAACAGAGCTGCGCCATTACAGCTCGTACCTGCTAAAAACATCTGTTTTGTTTCTGATTATCATGTTTATCGCTCTGAAATCATGCGTTTTAAACCATATTAGTTTAAACTTCAGATATAAGGTTTTCTGAGCGCACACATCCGAAGCACACGCACAGAAAGCGGCTGTCACAGCATGTGAGTACTAAACTAAGTTCTCATTCACACACAAGTTTACGTTAAAAACACACACGAGTTACAAAAAACAGTCGGTTATGTCTGTGAAGGTAAACAGCTGGGAAATAAATCGCTTGTTTATTTTAGATCTGTGTGGCAGCAGCAATATACAGTAAATAAACCAATAAATACACTGCTTGTCTCCTCTGAGGCTGGGACTCTAAACAGTGTTCTGTGCTCGTCTGTGCAGCCAAAGACAGAACAGTTAGCATGTTTTGCTCAAACTTTCACCATGGCATTAGAGCTGGTACACCGTTGTCGCTTGCAAAAATCAGAGCCGCTCCGCTCATCAGCCTCAGCCTCAGAGGAGCTCACTGCATGACACATAAAAGTGACTTTTCATTGTATTTTGGGGTGAAATATGAAATGATTTGCGAGATGCATCCTCTTACGGTCATTGTCACTCTCTCTCTCGTGTCTGTCTCCAGATTTATCTCCCAGTTTAAGTCGTTTAACCCTATAAAAACAGAGATGTTTCTCATATGTGCACTAGACTCCTTGAATCGGAGACTTTGTTCAGTTTGATTGGGTTTGGTTTGACCCGAAGCAGACTGAAGTGAAGGGTTTATCTGTGTTTACCTCTCAGTTTCCCTCGCGTCTCTACTTTACGCTGATCCCATCGCGGAGGCTAATGAAAGCAGACAATCCCAGTCTCTGGTGTCCCCCCCCAGAATGTGTCTGTGAAGTTTCAGCTCAAAATTTCTCACAGATCATGTATTATATCATTTTGAAAATGCCTATTTTGAGTGGAAGCAGAAACACACTGTTTTTCGTGCCTGTCTCTTTAAATGCAAATGAGCTGCTGCTCCCCGCCCCCTTTTCCAGAATAGAGCTGCGCC